AAAAAAAAAAAAGAAAAACTCAGGAAGAAAAAAAAGAGGAAACTTGCAATGGGATAATCTTTTAAAGCAACAAAAAAATTAAAAGCAGGTCGCTCGCCCAGGTTTCCAAGAAGATACTAGTCACTATTTAAATGTTTTTTTTTTTGGCTTTTTGAGGGCATTCTGATTGGCTGGCTTAATATTAGCCAATAATTTTCATACTGCTGTTACTTTGTCACTTAAAACACCAACCCAGCGAAGATTCTCAAGAGAATAGAACATAACGCATTTTCAGACAAATTTATTGATATTTATGGTGGTTATTGGTTCTAAAACTATTTCTAGAGTTTGTTGAAGGCCGCTATGTCAACAGACTGAACCAAATCCTCAAAACCAGTTATGCTTTCCTCTAAAAAGTCTGTACCAACTTTGTCATCTTCCACGACACAAGCGATTTGAAGTTTCTTGATGCCATACGCCAGAGGAACTAGTTTACTAGTGCCCCACAGGAGACCATCATGACTGATGCTACGGACACACTTTTCTATTTCAGCCAAGTCTGCATCAAGTAAATGCAAGAATAAACTATAGTTAGTTTGAGTATAATGTTTTTGAAACACTGTCTATAGGATATTACTAACAAAGAATAATACTCATGAGAATGGTGGTCTAAAAACATTATATAAAAAGATGCAAAGTCACAGGAGGTAACTAGGAATGGTATTCCTTTTGTTGTTAATGTTACCCAACACAAAACTGGTCTTTTGGTTGATCCAGTCCAATTTGAAGACAAATAAAGATCAAATTGTGATACCTATATTAATAGATTTAATATGATATTGCAGAGACCAAAAGCCACAACTAAGAAGCAGTTGGGTTGGATTGAATAACTGCATAGAATCTGACCCAGTTGAGATGATGCCCTGCACCTCACCTGTTTCATCATCCCATGGTTTGACATCAAGAATTATCATTGATTTGGCAATTACTGCTGGTTCTGCATCATAAAATTAAAGCATTACATATAATGTAGATATCGTAGGACTTGAAACCAATGGTTTCTGAAGGTAGGGCTAAACTTACTGTGCGGACACACTAACCGGGACCACTTGAATAAAGCTTACCAATCAAATAACAGTAAGTTAGACAGAAATTGAACTGATTACAGTGTTAGCCAATCAGATTATCACATTCTCACTCACTCTTATTATATCAATGTGCTATCTGATTGGCTGATAAAARATATTGAACTAAATGTCACAATATGGTTGGTTTATTAACTAGTTTATGGAAGTGGTCCAGGTTGGAGTATCTGCACAGTAACATTATCCATTGATACGTAAATATGAAAAACTGAATGACAGTTGACTTTGGACAAATCAAATATTTTCAATCATTCATCAGTGTCACTTACTTTTAGACTTTTTAGCATGATAAGCTTGTAGTCTTTCTTTTTTGATTCTTTCTGCTTCTTCATCTTCTTCCTCCTGTTTAAGCAAGGTTATTAGTAATGACATCTCAATTCAAGACTGTTACTAGGGCTGAGTCCAATCTCAGGGACTGAACTGGTCAGTCACCAATGTGACAACAAAGTAGCACAGCACTAAGGAAGCACCCAAAGTTCTCATGTTCTTTCATGCTTTTGATTTGGAAAAAGCTATTTCTTAATACTTGTAATCCATCACCAACACTGGCAACTTTTTTTCTGATCCTTAGATTAGACCAATTTTTTTTTCTAATGAATAGAAAAAAGGCAACTGCTCGCTTTTTATTTACTCTCTTTTTAACTCGCTCAAGGATTCACTACTTTGTTTTGTGATACCCTACAAATTGTAAACACAAACTTGTCATAAAAACACACATTTCAATGAAGAAATCCTTCCAGTACAGGTATACGTTTTTATCCATTTCTGTACTCAATTTCTTTCATCCCTCTGATGTACTAGCTAAATTGTTGGCATTATGGCTAAAATACAAACTTACACTTGAAGATCCAAAGAGATCTACTTCATCGTCATCATCATCATCAGTTTYTTTACTGCCGCCATCTGTGGTACTAGTTGCTGATCCTATGTGTTTTTCAGCTGCCTTCTTGTCACCAGGAAAGGTAGCCTTTTCAGACCCATATGATGCAATATGATTGTACCATCTTAATGCATGGGGTAAACTTTCATTAGGAGATCCACTCAGTGAATCAAATACTACAGCATCAGCTTGAGATGGAACATAACTGGAAAATCCCAAGCAGTAACATATAAGTAAGAAATACTGTGATTAATGTTTTTCTTTCAAAAACAACATACAAATAGCCTGGCCTTTTGATAAATACTGTGCTCCTTGACTACCTTTTCAAATCAAAAACAGCTTCAATTGCATTGACGTTTTGGGAATATCAGCGGTTTTGATACATGTCAATTTCCTTACTCTGTATTTAGGTCATTCCTATACATGTTATCATTTTGATTGTATTTAACAAATCGCTCATAGATTTTCATTGACTGTTGTCTTATTGATCATAGATGATGTCTTAAAATATTCAAAACTCAAGTGGAATCACAAGCGCAGCAAGTGGTTTCACTGTAAAGTTTTGAACATTTAAAGACATATTTTAAAGTCATCTATGATCAATGAGATGACAGTCAATGGAAATTTTTGAACAATTTGTTTTTCACAATAATGAAATCAAAAAACATCTACTGAAAGTGCAAAAACAATTCAAGCACTCATGTGTCTGTCCTTTTATATCAAAGTCAAAGCACAAAAAAAAAAAAAAGATCAAGAAATGTTGGAATGCAAATTAATGGCAAATTAATTTTATCTCCCCTCATTTTAGAATTGTATTGTACCATCATCAAACATAATAGAAGGTCCCCTTCAATGTACATTGTACCAATTCCCAACTTCTTGAGATGTCTTAACCTATCCCACAATTAACATGTTAAGAAATTATTAGAGACCTGATACAAAGGGTAATTATCTTTAACATCTCTCTTGATGCAGGTTAAGGTACTGTAGTTTAAAGAGTAATGTGGTCATTCTTTGCATTAAATGATATCAGTCTATGGCAAGGCCTAGTTATGAATGGTTTGTCTTGTGTCAATCATTGACTGTAGTCTATTGCTGACAATTAAAAAATATGTTTTAGCAATCCAACAGCAAACAAACCAGCTGAGGTAAATAAAGCATTTCACTATCAAGATGAGATCTGCCCGTATTCTTGACTGCTTAAGGCCAATGTAGACGGCACAACTTTTGCCTACAACTTGTACACGCAAGAGTTTTAGAACGTGTTGTAGCCGTTATCTAGATGCACACAACTTTCAACTTACGACAAAAAAGTTGCACGTAATTTGCTCGGTTTGTTGTTTAGGAGACTGGGGACGGCAACAAACAAGATGGCGGACAGAAAGCGTGTGGCCGACAGTATTACAGCAAACCAAATTATTTAAAAGAAAGAAACTGGAACCTCCAATTTGACCTAGCTAGAACTATAGCACGGGAATTTATGAGCAAAATGGCAACATCACATATCTAAACATGAAAACTATAAGCATTCAAGTCACAAAATAGCACGATTAATCGACTTAACTTTACCTTCTTTGTTGATCGCAAGTAGGACTCGCTGCATTGCTGAAGCTCTATAATCTTTGTTGAAATAAGACGAGTGCATAGAGTTGAATAAAACTTCCTCTTTTGCCCATCCACTAACCAACCTTTCAAAATTTCTTTTCTTCGTCTTTGCATTGTTTTGTTTTCGTCATTGTTTTCGTAACATTTGGAAGTGCCATTTCTGGTTCCGGTTCCATATCGTCCAAAATCGTCACCCTCTTCCCCTCAGTCTTGCTTTTTTCGTAAAAATTGCTCACAACTTTGAGGAAAATCTCAAAGTTGTGCAGCTTTTTTCATGTTGTGTACAACAGTTGTGAGCAGGTTGTACGGTTAATTTAGACGGAGCAATTYGAGTTGTAGGGATGTCGTCGGCGTACGCGCGTACAAGTTGTAGGCAAAAGTTGTGCCGTCTAGATTGGCCTTTATATTTTTAGCTATGCAYTGATTGCTAGCTGTCTGCATTTTCAAGGTAGTGTTGATCTTTCAATTGGTATCTTGTATTAGTTATAAAATATCATAAAATAGGATGGAAGTAGAATTAAACTACGTATAAAATATAAACTAATTCAACTTCATTCGTAAAACTGCAAGATATCAATAAAATTACTCAGTTTTGTACACCACCAACTGACCATTTAACACTAAGCTTGTAAAAAATAAAGTCAAGTTACAAAAACCGAAAGAAAACTGTACGCATAAGAAAGCTCACAAAATGCAGAGAAAAATTCTTAGTTAATTAATCTTTACAATTATCGTGATTGGAGGGGGAAATCAAATAAAGAAATCAGTGAGTACTGTACGAATATTATTAACACACGTGTAAAGATGTTGATTGCGAAATTACTCAATCTATTTAGTCTTACATACCCTTCTATGTAGCTTTTATCTTGTAGGTATGAGTTAAGCGCTTGAAGGCCAGCAGGAGTTTTTAGATCGCCAAATCCCATTTTTGTTRAAGGATTTTCCTGGTTCTGAACTTGAATCAAGATGGACGAAGATTCAAAGAGAACGAGACCTACCCAGCATGCATTTATATCCCTCTCGGCCCAGGACCACGCTAGGTTACCTGCATGCCACGAATCCCCCAATGCATTCCATGTGCGCAGTTCAGGAATTGTGCGCTCTATTGAAGCACTGGGGAAAAAGTTTAGTAAGTTTAGGCCTATCATTTATTTTTCAAATATAATCCAGCTAGTGGTCTGTCATCAATGCTGCGTTATGACTGGATGAGCTAATACTAGCCTATATAAGTCATAGCCTACTATCAGCGAAAAGTGCAGGCTTTTAACAAAACATTGAATTTTACTTGTTTGCATCTCAGGGGATCAGAGGACCCAGGAATTTTAGAATGACTATTACAAAGGTTATACCAGGAATTCAAGGAAAAGGGGGGTGGGTGTTACTAACGATATACCTATAAGGTATTTGATCCACCTCTGCATCTATATATTTGACTGACTAGTTGGATTTAACTAAGATAATTTTAGTCCTCCAGCCCACATGATCTAGTTCAGCTAGTTTTCAATAGCCCATTCAGGTTTGAGGACTATTTGCTAATATTAGTATAAACCYAACTAGTGGTCTGTCACAAATTCTTTACTTAGATTAGCTGAGTTACTAGCATGTACTGTGGTCTATTAGTGAAAGACCACTTGTAGCAAAAATGTGATTTTGGAAACCAAGACAATGATCAATATAATTAACTCATAACACAAAGTGTATTTACTAGAGTGTGAYAGAGAGCATGCAGTAAAACCATGAAATAAAAACAAAGTTAATATTGACAAATAGTGCAATTTACAAAGACACAAATGGTCTCTTGTGTATTTGTCTTTGTGTAATGAACAGTTCTGATTTAGTGATAGCAACTATTAGTCACTAAATAGTACCATTTGTCAATATCAACTTACAGAAAAAAGATCTACTCAGAATATTGATTCAGAAGTAAATAAACAGCAGGTCAAAATTTCACCTGTCAAACATAAAAAAACAGTGGAAGGCMAATTTTTTTTTATTTCAAGCCCTGTAACAGTGTCCTCAAGTGCTTAGTTTGTTATCCCATACTAATGCATTCAACACTCTATGGTTCTATGTAAGTATCTTGAATTGTGGTTATAGGATCTTGGAGCATGGCTGGATGGTAGGCGTTAGGAAAGTTTGTTGACATTATGGGCCGTATATTTTTTCTTGAGGAGGATCTGTAGGGATTTATGGGGGAGGGCCGAGAGAAACTGATTATATGTAGTTTATTTTCCCTTTTGACTCTCCCTTTGTCTGTAGGGATTAATCAAACCATGTAGCTGGTCTTAGTAGAAATTATATCTGTTTATTATATTCAACAACTTGATATTGAGTCTTATTCACACAAAAGGAYAGCTAAATTCATAAGATCATGAAGTTATATAGCAACAATGACCACCATTATTGACTATTGACAAGGTAAAATGCTCTCATTGTTGACTTCAAGGTTTCTCTTAAACCTCTCATCATAAAATATTTCATATTTTACCCTCCCCACCCCTGATAAAATCAGTACTCAACTCTGTCAATGTATGGTGCAAAGCCCTTTGTTGGCAAAAGATGCACAACAGAATTAGTCATAATCAACAAAATACAGATACAGATTCTTGTACATTTTCATTGACTGAATTCAAAAAAGATACAGCCAGGTATTGCTGAATACTTTTTTCTATCAATTTAAAAAAAGGGAAAGTACTTTGAGTTGCAGTTCAGGTTCTTACTTAAGTTAATAGCTTTTTCAATTGCTGACATTTTCAATATCTAAGCACCAACATGCTTTTTCAAAAGTTCTGTTGTCATACTCTTTGGTCTTTCAATTGGAAGTCCAAGTGCACGGTCCCAAACCAGAGAAGCCAGCACTCCAAGGGCTCGCGAAACTCCAAACAACACAGTGTAGTAATTCATCTCAGTCAGCCCATAATACTAAAGAATTTTCAAAAGTATAACATTAGTATATGTATTATAAAGTACAAATAATAAGTTTWAAAAAAATAAAATCAAAATCGTTATCGAATAATAGTTTTAAGAATTATATGTTTGATAATTTGATAAGTTAAATTCTTTAAAATTAGTAAAAAGAAATCTCAAAAATTATAGTAAATAAACAAAAGAATATCTGGATGAAAAGGTTTGCAAAAGGTAAAGTTAAATACAGGAAAATGATGAAAACATTGTTATGTTTTTGCAGGTTGCAGGAAGAAAAAACATTAATCTAAATCTCTGTTACCCATATCCCCAACACGGCAGACCATTGAAGCTACTAGGACTTTTCTCTTCTTTGCTCAGATTTAAGGTATTTTCTAACCAATTATCGGCTGAATATTACAGATAAGGATGTGGTTTTAATGCATTTCTGCGCAGCCATTAAAACCAATTACTGACAGGTCCATAGTCCATCCAGAACAGTAATAATTAGTTAATAATAGGTAAAGAGGTTTTAACTGAAACAACCAACAACCAAAAAGAACTGGAGTGAGAGAAACTCTGGAACCCAGGTTAATACTGTATCTCAAGTGTTAGACTAACTACCATAATGTAATAAAATTTATTCTTTCCTTTTGCATTAAAATGCATGGGTGTGGTGTGTTGTGGTGTGGTGTGGTGTGGTGGTGGTGTGGTGTGGTGTGGTGTGGTGTAGTGTAAAGTGGTGAGGTGTAGGAGTGGACTGAAGAAGCATACAGCCAGCCATTCATGGTCCCCACTCCCCTTAGTTACCTTTGCTATGTCCCACAAGCTTAACAAATTATCTAGAATATCTCAGAATAGTTTAAAACTCTGATCGCGGAAAACTGATAATCCTAATAATCCATGTAGTACTCTTTTAAACAGATACTGTGTAGTTGTTTGTGGGAAAAGATTTTAATTCTATTGAGAAAATTGCTGCAATGGTGATTGGTTTGCTATTGTTTGGGTTGGAAATATAAATTGAATAACAAAGCCAATTGCTTCTAATTATCCACTGACATCATGCAGAGATAAAATAAAATAATGATTGATAAATTAGTATATTGTTCTGATGTATACCTGAAGCAAAACTCCACTATGTGCATCAACATTAGGCCATGGGTTCTTGGCTTTGCCTTGTTCAAGCAACACATCTGGTACAGTCTTATAAAGCTGACTAACGAGCTTGAACATTGGATCATTAGGAAGATGCTTCAAAGCAAATTCACGCTGGCAAGTGTAGCGGGGATCTGTTTGACGAAGTACTGCATGTCCATAACCAGGAACAACTTTCTACAAATAATAATAATTCAAACCCCATATACTGTAAACATTCTTTCAAAGAATGATGATTATTTACTAAAACATTGTTTATTATTAAATTAAATGATTTGTGCAGCTTGGATATGTTGAAAAAGAATTTAATGATGTTAACAAGCTCCTATACACTGTCTAGAGCAGGCCTTCAACTTACCCCTCCCTGCAGACTATCCCAGATGAACTGCCTGACTTTTTCATCTGATGGATCAGGGCCAAGATCCTCACTCAGTTTTGTCAACCATATCAATACTTCCTGGAAACCAAGATAGTTAAACGTATATTTAGTTTTTAAATGTATATCTTTATAAAACTAACTGATTGCATTCTGTACCAATTGTATGAGTTATTTAGTAAAAGCAAGAATCAAATATTAGTCAGRACATACCTGATTGGCAAGTCCATGAAGGGGTCCAGCCAGTCCATTCATACCTCCAGCAAATGAAAGATAAGGATCTGACAGAGCACTCCCAATGAGGTGAGTAGCATGTGCGCTTACATTTCCCCCCTCATGATCAGCATGGATGGTCAGATAAAGGCGAAGCAACTCAGTGAACATTCTATCATCAAATCCAAGCATGGTGGCCAGGTTAGCTGACCAGTCCTTGTTTGGATCAACAGGAGCTACTTTGCCATCTTTGTACAAGTTACGATAGATGTAGGCAGCTAATGTTGGCAATTTGGCAATGAGCTCCATGGCATCCTCAAAGGTGTGCTGTGGTTAGCAGATGAACAACTATAGTTATCTAATAGTTTATTTCAATGACATGGCCATCATTTAAGCAAACTCCATTGTGTATTTCTTTACCTTCCAATACTCAGTCTTCTTCACTCCACTATTGTATGCCTTTACAAATTTGCTTTCACTGTTCATTGCAGTAACAGCAGCACTGAACTGACTCATTGGATGCAAAGTATCTGGGAAATTATTCAGCATCTGAACAACATGTTGTGGGAGATCTGCTTTGGCTGCCCATTCATGAGACAAGTTATCAACCTGTAAAATCACAGATTAAATCAGGTGGAGCTAGAGCTTAATTGAGCCAAAAAATACTATATAATTTTAAAGGTCTATAAATTTGGATCGTTTTTTTTTTTGCTCAACCACTCAATAGAATATCAAAAGTTGGCTATTCTATTTCCAAGGGGTTATCTCCATTCCTTATTCAAGATTTATCCACAAAAACTTTCCATGGTATGTTGTGCACAAAATATTAATACAAGGTTCCTCTAGGTTCATTTTTTGGGAAGAGATATAGAGCAGAGCCACTTTATCACTGCAGGAAAAATCATAAAGTTAAGCAAACACGGTAAGGAAAACAATGGTTTGCTCATCAGTCTCTGTTTTTGCTGGTACTACATAGTGAAACCAATATTTTTTAACATCGAAAAATATTATGTAACAAGCTGACTGAAATAATCAAATTTATCAAGTGTGGATCATTTACTGTGCACACACTAGCCAGTACCAAATAAAACTAACCAAGCAGATAACAGTGAACTAGACAGAGATTAAACTGACAACATCATTATCCAATCAGAGTGTTCTTGCACTCTTATTATGTCAATGTGCTATCTGATTGGCTGGTTAAAAATATTGAGCTAAACGTTGAAATATGATTGGTTAATGATATTAGTTTATCAAAAAGGTCCCAGTTGGATTATTCACACAGTAAAAAATGATTGATTTACTTGTTGTTTAGTTGGTATTTCTCCTGTCATAAGGAGCCAAAAGAGACCTTCAGGCAAAGGTTCGTCACCTCCATCAGCCTTTGGAAGAAGCTGAAAAAAGAAAAAAGAAAATAAGTTGAAATCTTAGCCAACATTTGGATTCTAATGATGGTTGACTCAAAAATATATACTACTAATAAATATCAAATCTATATTAAGAGTATACAAATTCAAGGTCTAGATATTGAGTTGCTAAGGACATGTATTAGGAAAAATAAGTTATTAACTTACTTCTTGACACTGAGGAATAGTATACCCACGGAACTCAATACCCTAAAAATACAAAACACATCTATAATCACACAACATAAGTGTTTATTACAGAGCAACACAAAAGTATGAATACATTTWAATGTATTTGCATACTTATATGCACAGGCTTTTTCCTGCCAAACAAGCATTTGCACGCCTCTTTGGTAAAGCCAGCTAGCTTTGCTGTCAATTTATTGTACAAAACCTATGTATGAATGTATGCAAATGCATTAAATGGGGTAATACTTTGTTACGTTGCACTGTATTAAGTTTATTCTAATGTTGGCAATGGACTTTTTCAACAATAAGGTAGCCATCTTGTCAAAACAAAGGTAATTCATTTAAGATATTGCCTGGAGGATGGTTCTGCACAATAGGACACAGGGTTCCCTTAGAGGTACATTTCACCAATTTCCAACCCCGTAAAATCCCCATATTCATCCAATTATCAACCATTTAAAGAAATTATTATTAAAGGCCAGACACTGAGAGTAGTCAGGTAGCCATTTTCCATGGTCAACCGAGCCACATGAAGGTCTAACCACTTGACGTTGTTATTACAAAGGCAGCACCTTCTTCTCAGTTATTTTAAGACTCTGAGTGTTGGTCCAGCCAGAACTTCACATACAACCTTGATTCTCAAACAGCTGAGCCAACCAGGTAGTGGTTTGAAAATGGAAAATATATAGAGTTTCATGTGTCTGTCTTTCTTTTATGGGTAAARGTGATCGATTTGCTGTCTTAAGGCAACTGGCCACTTTTGAAAAAAATATCATTGAAGAGGTCTACATTATTATGGTCTCATAATCAATCAATGCATAAACTGGACTGTCCTTATCAATCAGGATTTAATTGATTATGATTGGACAAATTTACTTAGTACTTCTAGCTTTCACTGTCTTCCATTACCTCATTAGCATCAAGATGAGATGTTTCTGTAACCAGTCCTTTGATTCCCCTCATACCACCATAGGCCTGTCAGGTAAAATACAAATTATGAAATTAAAGATATGAACCTATTGGGATAACATTAATATCACACACATCAGTTTATTTTGATATATTATGAAGGCTTAGAAGCACAATAAGATTGTGCAAATCATAGAGATTTGCATCATTTCTAACGGATATTCTTAGAATTCACACCTTTTTATATTTACATTTTTACTTAAGTATTTATGTATCCAATCTTATCCCCATTGTCATGGAGGAAAACAAAGATAGCAAAAGCAAAATACTTTGAAGCCCTTTTTTTGTTATTTTATGCCTTTTTATGTAGCATGTGATCCTGGTAAATATCACTATCTGATCACAACATCAGATGGCTTCTAACTGCTTTTCACAATTAAGGAATGATTGGATAAGTGCAAAATGAGTGGCCTTTACATAGTGCATACCTGCCACCCTTAACTGGTAACTGGAAAGTTCTTCTTCCCTCTCCTTTATTAGTTAGAATAATTTCATCAAGGTTTTTTAATAAAAAATTTTGTCTTTACAACATAAGACATAAAAGATCAAAATTAAGACAAGTTGATTTTAAGACATTTTTAATACATAGAAGCCTTGGAATACCTTGAATTTTTAATGGGTTAAAAAATACTCGTAACAATCAGCAAGAAAAACTACCACACCTATGATACAGTGAATTTGCAAGCAAACATGCTACTCAACATGATAGCTAATTGTAAACAAAATTGAGGTAAACTTCGAGGTAATAAGTTAAACATATTTTTACCTGATCAATAGTGTATTCTCCAAGTTTTTCATTACCATACTGTTTTCTAAATTCCATTATTTCTTTCTGTTTTTCTGGGATTACACGATCCAGAGTATCTTTGAGACTCTGTATACAAATAGTAAACAATAATTATTGTAAGAAGTCCAGTTTGTAAGGAATAAAAAATATTACCATATACCAGTACGTATCTTAATACCAGAATAAGCATCGAAATTACACCACATCCAGGGGTTGTTTTCTTACCAGTGACTTGGTTGATTGCTTCCGGGATAAAACCGAAGAACAGCAGGTTCCTTGGAAAAGTATCTGCTATTTAATAGGAAAAGAAAAAGGCGTCAGGGATGGTTAACATTACCAGACTTCGTCCAGATATACTGACATGTGGAGGGCCTTGTGAAAGTTGTCTACCTAAATCAAACCTGGTTCTACTTTTTTTTTCGAAATTAGACAAAAATAACTGCATTGAAAAGTGCAAATGCAATAAAAGACTCACCTTAGAGTGGCTTAGCCGGGAAACCTGCCTCCACGTTCTTAAAGCGTTCATTTTTTCCTTGATTCAAAGTTTTCCTTTGCAACTCAACCAGAGCTTTGCACTGTAGAAGCTTGGTAACCAGCCGTACTCATGTGTGACGTCATTAACCAGCAACTGAACCGAGAGACTGGCACTAGGGTATAATTTTTCCTAAAAAAGGCAAATGAACTCACTCTACATTTACATTTATTATCCAAAATTGTTTTTTATTCAAGGATTATTAATACCTAGAAGAAGTTAAAAGAAATTTTTCAGTTCCTTTGAGGCTTTCGAGTTTAGACATGATAGTTAAATCCCGACGTAGTCATCAAAAACGATAATTGGTTTCAACTAATAACAATTAATTATAATTATTAATAGCCGAAAAGTAGTATATCCAAACTGGCCATTGTCCCACGGATCGATGATTTAGAATTGGGAATGATTAAGATCCATTGTTCCAGTGTCAGAACAATGGAAATAGATCCAGAGAGACAAAGGCCAGAGARCTAGAGTGATTTTCACACCGGAACCCGTGAAACGAAATTTAGCTATTAACTTCTATTGACGCATATTAATGTGTAATAGCGATTATTAGTGAGACAACTAAGAATAGTGCAGTGAGAGTTTATTGACTGTATTTTAAAGTCTATTGCCGAGTAATAACTCGTACTGTAGTTTGTATTAATGATTCTTACGCTTACATTTATTTCATGCGGGTTTACTCCATGCATTTTCTATTAAAAAGCCTGACAAAGCTACATTCACACAACACAAATGCAACAAAACATCTTTGTACAATTGAAAATACCGCTTCAAACAAGCATTTTATCATACAAAGGTATAGTTTTTGGCGCTTTTTGCTATTATTGCTCGTTATTGAAAAAAAAAAAAAGTTTTAGGCCTGAGTCTTTCTCTATATCACACACTGAATAAACTCAAAAAAGAAAAGAAAGAAACACATCACAGCATTTATTAATGAAAAACCATCTCAACTAACAATGTGCAATATATAAATCTCTAAGGCCTAGGGCAAACGTCGAACTTTCCATGCCACCTCATTATCACCTGATATCCATTGTTTTTAATGATTTCGGTGCATGGAAAGTTCGACTTTTTTCCTAGGCCTAACGAAGTTGATTATTAACTTTTGCAATTGAAAAAGTGACATTTATAATCACACAAAATTACGAAACTCAAAGAACTTGTAAACATTGAATGAAAAGTCACTTAATCAAAAAATCTTGAAAAAGAATATACAGGGCACCCACTATAGAATAATATCTAATAATAGGTAATGGGTTATTTATAGTTAATAATTATGAATTCACAAATAGACTGTATAAGATAGAAGATCGAGGCTGGTTATATTGAAATTACGTGTTACTTTCTTCTTGCAAACTCAGAATTCATTCAAAACCGAAAAACACTAAGCACAATTAATTCATTAAAAAAATCTGCACACGCATTTCAACTACCTCTCTAACGAATTTAATAATTAGCTTTTACTAGTACTTTTACTAGTACTTTTAAAAGTGAATAAGCTTAAAAAAAGTTAACATTGAACGCCGAAAAAGTCACTGAATGAAACACATCATTGAAAATAATTGCTCATACAAYTGGAATATTTGCTCTTTTCGGTCTTTTTTCTCTCTTTCCAAAGCAAAAGGTTGTACGTTCTTAAAAGTAACTGGAAAGTTATATAGCACAAAAGTAAACTGCGTGACAAAACATCCTCATGACCCGTAAATCTTCTGATTTTTGCTAACTAGTAGTTAGCGTGTTTTCGAGGCTACGAAACCTAAGAAACCTAAGAGGTGAATGTATAGGCCAACAGATAGTATRAGCTTATAAAATCAGCAAAAATACGGTTCTAAATTTTAACAAATTCCTCCGCTCCTCGCAAGAAATTCGTCGGTTTTCAAAGCAAGGAACGCCTGCCATAAAGTGTAGCGCGCGCACGTAAACAAGCACTACAAGGAACGCCTGCGATGTCTTAGAATACGTGCGATAAAATCGAAGATAAACCAACACAATCAAAACTTTAACGTGCTCCCTTGCACAGAGTTTGCAAGTTTATAAAAATTGCAGTAAATAGTAAGATACGGATAAAACGCGTGGATTTGGCAAAAACATGTCGTCTCGGCCTACTCAGTAATATATATRATAGCTTCGCTGAGCAGAATGATTCTTCATTCTGCTGAAAGTTATCACTAGTTATAGCCGAAACCTTATGTTTTTACCAAATCCACTTTTCCCCGTAATAAAAGAAATAGAAAACGTGCGCGCGTGCTGTGTGCAGTTATAAAGCACGCGGGGGTTGGCAGAACACGAGAGAAGTGTTAGGAGAAGCATGACGCGTAGCGGAGTGCTTCTCGACACTTCTCGAGTGTTCTGCCAATCCCCAAGTACTTTATAACTTCACACAGCACAAATATTTCTTACTGGTGGGGAGAAAAATCTTWAAACGGGCTAAATTCAAAAAATAACCACGCAGAGCGAAAGAAGTGCTATTTCTCAATGATCGGGTAAAATTTTGAGGCTTTATTTCACGTTTCAATGATTTTATTGAAATTTTTGATGAATCTCCATACATTTCCTTATAGCAGGACACCACAGAAACCAAGCTTGGGCTACCTGTGGTGGAAATGTACGTGTTCGTGAGGATCCTGGGGACGAGGTTGTCTCGTGACATCATTTCTGGTTTTTCGGGTTGTATTACGTGAAAATTGATAATCGGGTGAACGTGTTGCAATACGGTTTCTACTTTTTGTTGTTTATTTACAATAACGCTGTAGAATATGGACAACGAAATGAATAATTCAAGCATTCAAACATCAGCGGAAAGTCAACCTAAGATGTGAGTTCTTTATTTCTTACCTATCCTTTGCTTTGCCTCATAAATTTAATACGCCGTTTCTTTTTAATAGTTGCGAAAGAACTCATATTGCTCATATTATTGAGCAAACTGCATTTTTTCTGTTACAACCTATGATCTTTCTTTGTCGTTGGAAAACTATTTAAAACCGGATATCGTTTATTACTGTTCTGCTGATTCAAATTTATGGCCATTATATATACCTCGTTACAGAACGTTTTTTATGCGGATACTGAAGTACGTRCCTATATATATTTAGTCATTAATATTACATGCAGTACGTAGTCATAGCTATAATTGTTTTTTGTGTGGATGCAAAATATTATAAAACAAGAACTATGATTACGAAACAAAATGGGGAAAAAGGGAAGGAATTGGAATATGAATTTGAAACGAAATGGAAGAAAGGGAATGAAATGGAAATGAAAAGCAAATTATGTAATCATGCATTGTTATCTCATTCCAAATGGAATATAATTGAAAAATCATTCCTTTTTATAGTACTGAGGATTTGAGCTTTTCAGACCAAACCAAAATGAGTATCAATGATCCTACATTAGAGACCCTAGATAGCCGAACTGTTACTGCTACAGAATCAACTCCACTTTTGGAGACAGAGCCTGAAGAAGACCATGGTAGACATGGAACAATTGTATCTTCTATCTTTACATTGGTTTCAACCATGATTGGTGGAGGCATTTTATCACTTCCATTTGCGTTTCAACAAGGAGGTTTCATCACAACATCTTTCATACTGTTCTTTGTATTACTGGCTTCAACACATGGTGGATTTTTGATTATTAACAGCAAGAAATACTGTCAAGGTAGAATCAAGAATGTTGAGGATGTGGGAAGGATAGCCTTTGGATCCAAAGGAGAAGTATGTGATAAAATATATCTTCTAATTCATTAACTATGTTCATAAAGAGGAAAAAGCTGGGAGCTGGCTGGTGGTATATATATTTACATGCAAACCCTACATTTTGCTACTATACATGTCCAAATCTTAATCAGCACTATTTTAGTGTTATGCTATAGCTTTAATAAACTTCCCCTCATATTTAGATTTTGATAAATTATGTATATAGCTGTAGCAACAAGACCTATCTATAAGTGGTAGACGACGTAAGACGATCAATAAACATTTAGTTATTGATCTGCTACATCTGACAGATTTGTATGGTCAGACCCAACATGATAACTCTTTTCTACACTTTGCGTATCCACAAGTAAAAAAATAGAATTACAGATAGTTGCATATGAATATGAATATTACTAATAACTGTACACATATGAGTGGGACATAAATTAATGCATGACAAAACAAATTTTTTTGTATAGTTATTATTTACAAATATTAGCATATTATTATTTAACTATTAATATTATAATGTTATTTTTAACTTTTCTTTTCTGTTTTCCATTTAGCTTCTTACACAGATTGTATTAATCATTACTCTTTTCCTGTGTTCAGTGGCCTACTGGATTCTCATTACAGACCAGGTGATAACATGACACCAATATTAAATTTTCAATATTGATATTAAACATGATGTTACCACTCTTTTCATTGCTATGTGTTGATTGAGACAACAGTCACGAAAGGAAAATTGGGCAATACACTTTTGTCAATGAAATAAATTGGTTGGTACCTTTGCATTCTCTGATTCCCTGTTGTAACTGAGATCTTAAGATCTCCACACCCTGACCCTATTCTAAGACAAGAGAATCTTGAAATACATATATATCCTATTCAAGGCATTAATTTATTTAGGACTTGACCAAAATTGTAGACCCATTGGAAACTTAAATTCTAGAAGAAAAATTGCTAAAAATTTAATTGTATGTGTAGTAAACTAGACATCAAGCCCTAAAATGTTGACTAAATCTGCTCTAAATTACACTAAAATTTCAACTCAATCTGTGCATAAGAGAATATAGAACTCTGGTTTGCTTCCCATATTGGAAGGAATAGATATTTGTGGCCAGAGGGCCCTTTCACCTCTTGCACCTCCAGTGCTTTTATAAACTGCTCAAGCAAATGAGAACCTCTAGAGCCCAGGGTACTTTGGGATAAAATAAATTAAAATCTACACTGTGAATATTTTTTTCTGAGGATAAATATATATAAAAAAAACAATATATGTTCATCAAAGTAAAACTTTATTTACAAGATGAACACCCTCCCCCTGCTACCAGGAAATGCTCTGCTGTCCCTCTGAATTATTAAAATATTATGTACTAAATAGTATACCCTATGTAACCCTGTCCAGGGGAACGTCTCCCTATAGCCCAGCTAGGGCTCCAATAGACCTCTTTACCTTAATTGTTTGTTGTGCACATTTCAGACCATGTGATGCCACTCTTGGGAGTTGATTCTTTTATGTGCAAATGTTTCAACATGTTTGTCATAAAAGAACAATTTATTCTCAAGACAATGTCAATTTGCATACGAAGCTAAAAAGGTCTTTATATAGAAATAGTTGTGTAGTAAACCATCAGCTGTATATGGGAGTATCCCCCCAATGTAATTATTCATTATTTTTTCAGCTCCAGCCAATATTTATTCTCATCTGTGGTAGAAATTCCTTCTGGTCCAAGAAGATTGTGGTACTTACAATTCCTGTGTTGATCGTCTTTCCAATAACTTTATTAAAAAGCATGAATGCTTTGAAATTTACATCATTTTTAAGGTATATATAGTATACAACAACTTCATAATTTTGATTAGTTTGCATGCAATTATGTATGATGAATACATACTTGTGTCTCAATACCAGTAATAAGAAGCACTGATAGCCTAAAGTAATTGGCACACCTTTAAGCCCTTTATACATGAGTCCTTGGCTCRTTACAATTGGGCAACCACTACCCACTACATTGAAGCAAAATAATTACCTTTTACCTTTTCTAAAGATCAGTTTTTTATTTCTAAAAGTCAATGGCTATCTTTAGCGTTCAGTCTATTATATATGATAAATATTTTAGGAGAAAAGGGAGCTCAGTTTTCAAGAGGCTATGCAATCCCCCTACAACCAAAAACTTTATAGAAAGCATGGTTTACCTATACTAATATAACATAAATCAATTCATTTCTAGTGTCATCTGTGTGTTGTTTCTTGCTGGGGCCATAATACATCAGTCTTCCGTGTCACATTTAGGAGGCTTAATCGATGATCCTAAGAATCCTGTCAAGTGGTGGCCAGAAAACTTAGGAGGATTTCTAACATCTGTGTCTATCACTGGGTTAACATTTTCCTGCCATTTTAACATTCTTCCCATGCACAGTGAACTGCGATATCAAACAAGAAGTAACAAAAGAATCATACTCTACACAGCTATGGCAATCACTTATACTTTGAATGTGTTAGTTAGTTTCTTTGGTTACATGCAGGTTGGTAATGTGCTGTACAGAATAACTTTTGCAGGACTTATTGTGTTATGTACCCTGGATTTCAGGGGCGGATCTAGAGAGTTTTTGAACGTCCTGCCAAAAAATGGTGCTCCCCTGCCTAAACAAATCCTGCATATGTCTGCCACTGGATTCCATATGTATAGTATCTCTTATGTACTTCAGTGACTCTGGGTTAGTAGGTTTCCTTAATGATTGGGTCAACAATGCTATGTTGAAGAGGCACTAGAGGAGACAACGACCCCTGGCACTAAAAAAGGTTCAGTTAGGTTACGTGAGGTGAGGAAAGAAAAGGGAAGGGAAGGGAAGGCGGGAAGGGAAGGGAAAGGAAGGAAAGGGAAAGTAATGGAAAAATCTCTGTATTTTCTTCCGGTCATCTATCTTAGTTGGTCCTTTAGTTGGTCTTTCTAGCTTAATCATCGTATCACATTGATGGCTATAGATGGCTTAAATAATCATTACTTTTTACTCTTTAGTTTCGCCAGTTCATAGACCAGGATATCACAAAGAACTATCCTCATAACAGTGTGGTATTGACCATTGGACGATGTGCATTATCAATGACATTGCTTCTCAGCTTTCCTCTTCTTGTATTCCCTTGTAGAGACGTCATCAATAGAGTAAGAAATATCATATCGTAATATCATATGTTGCTTTGGATATTATTTGTATTACATCAGTGCATATGCTTGTGGTTTTACATTTTACCTAWTCTAGTTTATCTTGTTTATAGTTGTGGTCTTTTCTTTTTTCTTATGGTAACAGCAGTACAAGTCTGTATTATTATTTTAACTTCGTTGTTTCTTGATGTACAGTTAATCTGGAAGGAACATTCTCCTGTGTTGATGTCCAACTCTGTTTMTCGTACGATGAGCTACATATCAAACATCACAATAACTGGGCCATCTCGTCTTGTATGGTTCACGGAAACAGCCTTCTTGGTATTTGTTAGCTACGTGCTGGCTTATTATATTCCACAGGTRWGGTCTCATTACTCTTYAYTATCCATTGGTCTGCTGCTGGTCAATAGAACTAAAKTATTCAATAGAAATCAGAAGCAGAAGATCACCCTTGTCAAGTGTGAAAACTGAGTCCTAGACTTGGGGTCATATTATTCAGTACAACAAACTTATAAGTTATTCGATTCCTAGACAAATAGCAGTTTTATTTTAAAAAGTGTCCCCRCCCTCTCTCTGTTCCACACCTATTCCCCTGCTCGTTCTTTTGAGGAGCCGCCCGCGGGCCCGCCCTGAAGTGGCGCTGATCTTGTGTTGTTTATTTTACATGTAGGTCGCTATGGTGTGGGGATTCGTTGGTGCTATCGGCACCACTCTAACAATCTACATCCTTCCACCGGCCTTCTATCTTCGTGTTAGGATCCACCCACCACGGCCCGACCTCAAACAATTAGCAGCTTGGGGTTTAATGATCATAGGATTTATTGTCCTTATGGTTTGTACCTATCAGTCCGTAGTGAATGTCGTACAGCCTATCCCAAAAATACTACCATTAAATTCAGACAATGTAACGGTTTCTCTCCATCAAGGTTTATGATGTTATATTACTAAAGGACCAAATAGTTACATTATTCTACATTATTCCCGATGATGCCACTCAACAAGTCGGTATAGTACGCACTATACAGTGCAGTGTGCGGAAAACAATAATAATAATAGTCTCAAAGCTTCTAGCTTGGCACACATTAAAACAACCCTTGCACGGACGAGGTACAGGAAGATCCGTCTACTGAAGCAGAAAACTGGGACAGCAAATTTTTTACTAATCATATTGATGGTTTGCCAGCAATCCCAAGAGAGTTAAAAGACAAAAACATGGCGGCCATTGTGGTACCGTTAACAATGGATGCTAGTGAGAAATGTTTTGATAAATGGTACCAACATGGCCGCGATGACGTAACGTGCAAACGAAGAATAGCGGGTGGAGACCATTCATCATCCAATTCTACTGATTACTTAATCACCCGGGGGGGGGGGTACTCCCCTATATTCGCTATACGGGTACGTGCCGCCAAACAGGGTATGGTTTTCAGCGATTCTACTCTGGAACAGGGTATATAAAATCGCGCTCGCTCTGGAACACGGTACTATGAAATCACGCTCTCTTCTCTCTGGAACAGGGTTTTCAGCGATCTTGCTCTGGAACAGGGTATGAATTTCAGCGATTTTTACTCTCGCATTCCTACCCTAAACGGGCAAGAGTAACCCCCCCGGGCTTAATCATTTGGCGAGGAATACGGCCAAGGCCCCGCGGGTGATTCAATGCAAGGATCTTCATCGGTACGAGACGAGTGTAGAGGAAATTGCAGTTATGATTAGATGTACAGTACAAACAATTAGCTTTTACTTAAATTTTAATTTGTTCTAAGTTTACACTAGAGTACAAGCACTAAAAGTGTGCAACACTTTGCACTATTTGAGTAGTAAATAGTGCTAATTAAACAATAGAAAACAATAGGATTAGCATAATTTAGCAGTATTTAGTGGTATTTATGTTGCACACTTGTAGTGTTTCWACTCTACTACTTCAGCAAGGTTATTTTTATTGAGTTTCAAATTTTGATGGTTGGAGAGTTTTTACACTTATATATTTATATGCTTATATCAAAATAGAGTGCACGCACTAAAACCGTRAACATTAAATAGTACTTAAAACACTCATTAATAATTCATAAGCTTATGGTCCAATTGGAGCCACCATACGCGTCACGTGCATGAACCTTTATACCCGATAAAGTCCTCTTCATTAGTATTCAAGTGATTTTATATAAAGACGCATGTGTCTTTATATAAAGACCACTCGAATACTATGAGGATGACTTCATCAGGGATGAAGTATACATCCAAGTTTAGATGAAGACATGGAGCTTCATCAAGGCCATAGTCAACCCTAATGATCTTTGACTAACGTGCCTGTCTTTGCCTTGGCACGCAATATCCAACGTGTGTTAGCTTCTATTGAATCTGGTTGCGCATGCCCGTGACGTCAAATCTTTATCGAAGTATAAAAATCCATGTTCGTGACGTGTATGGTGGCTCCAGTTGAACCAAAATCTTATAAATTGTTCATGGGTGTTTTAAGCAGTTCAAAAAACTCGTAGATCGTGTTTTATACCTGATAAAACACTCCTACTCGTTTTTTAAACACTATTAATTAGTACTATTTCATACAGAAGCCTTTGTTTTCTATTGTTTAATTATCACTATTTAGTGCTAAAAATTAGTATTTGTTTCACGGATTTAGTGTGAGCACTCTACTTTATTTACTTGAATCATTATTAAGTATGTTTGAACGAACATAAATGAATCACGAGTATTATATGTTACGCTTATTTTTCAATTGTATTTTATTAATACATAACTGACTGACTTGGCATTTTACTTCAATACCAGAAAGCTTCTCGAGATATCTTCCCTATTTGACTTTGTATTCTCTCTAGTAAGAGAATAATAATAATAATGATAATAATAATAATAATAATAATAATAATAACATATTTATTTAATATAGAGCTTTTTACTTATAGCTCAAAAGCGCTTTATATTTAAACTAATGCTACTAGTCTACTACTAATAATAATATAAAAGAAAAAATACCCTAGTAATGTCCAGACTCAGTCATGAAATCTAAAAATCAGTAGAAAAAACGCCCTTATTTCTTGTATTAGATATAATAATTGTCTCTGACTGTCCAACATGAGTAACTATGGCGTATAACCGTATCCTAATCTAAACTTAATCATTTATTCATTGTTTCTTTTAACTCATAGACATAAAACTATCATAAAGAATTAACCCTAAAATGATATTGTCTAGTTATAATATCAGATAATAGATAGATAGACCTTTATCTAACTCGCCTGGACAACACGAATCGAATTTACCCGGAAACCTCCATGCCGCAGTTATCCAAGCGAATCCAGGAAAGGCTTATCRATTATTCAGTTAGTATTAATCAATGATATAGCAATAATTTAACGATATGAAAAATCAGTGCGAAGACCCAAAGAAATCAGCAGAAAGCTTTTTTAAATAAAGTCTTTAGTTGCTTCTTAAAGATAGTGATTGTCTCTGACTGTCTAATATGAATAGGTATAGCGTTCCATAGTCTTGGTGCACAGACTGAGCACGGAAGCCATATGATTTGAGATTATAACTTGGTGTTGTGAGTAGACACTTGTCGGTAGATAATAATGATAATAATAAGAATATTAATAATGATAATAATAATAATAAGATCTAGAAATAGAAATTTAAAAAATGTGGGGGTATGGAAACAAAAACCGTACCTATTGTCATTGGGGCACTGGGGTTAATTCACAAAGGACTAGAACAATATGTCAACCATTTAAAAGGGGACATCTCCATCACAGAAGTACAGAAGATTGCTCTCCTAGGAACTGCACACACCATTAGAAAAACTCATGATTACTTGATTCTTGATTACTTTTTTCCCTTTAAATTGATTTATTTTATTGTTTATTTCAATTACACCGCGTATTGTAAATATATTCTTGTTTTCCCAAGDCCCATGGATTGGACTCGGTAAACTAAGGATTTTGTAAGCAAAATTGAAGCAAATTGTAAATAAAGATAATAATAATAATAACACATATAGCGCTAAATCCACTAATTGCTCAAAGCTGCTCACTAATAAAAATAAATGATTTAACTAAGCTAATTAAAAATTGAGATAAAAAATATGTGAAACAAAACGATGAAAATTGTACTAATCGTAATAAATAATTATAAATTAAAAGCTAACTTAAACAAATGTGTCTTTAGAGAATTTTTAAAAACAGACAGATGGGGACTTTCGTATTTCTAGTGGTACATTGTTCCACAATCTTGGTGCAGCAACATCAAAAGCACTGTCTCCATACGTTTTACGATTGCTATTAGGTCCATACGTTTTACGATTGCTATTAGGTATATAGATAGCACTTATAAAAGCATGGATCAAGATCTCACAAGTAGTTTTATTTAGAAATTTGCGAATCTTAGAAATGTTTCTTAAGTGAAAAACGATGTCTTACATATCTGTTTAACATGATCCTCCATACTAAGTGAATGGTGAATATGTGAATAAGTGAAATAATAATACACCTAAATTTCGAACAGAATGACTGGGCGCTACACTTTCAGTTCCTACTAGTATATTAGCAATATCAGGCCTAGGACGAAACTTAGAGCTTATCACTATCAGTTCAGTCCTGTCTTGGTTTAATTTGAGGTAGTTTCTAGTCATCCAGCAGTCAATATCCTGAACACAACGTTCAACTGCGAGATTTTTAGAACAACTTGTTTTGAACGATACATATGTTTGAGTATCATCAGCATGTACATGATATTGCAATTTATATCTTTTGATGAAGTCTACAATTGGAGATGTGTACAGAACATACAACAACGGTCCCAAGACAGACCCTTGAGGAACACTACGAACTAACGACTGTTTTTCACGGAAACAGCCGGTATTTGTTAGCTACGTGCTGGCTTATTATATTCCACAGGTGAGGTCTCATTACTCTTTACTATCCCTTGGTCTGCTGCTGGTCAATAGAACTAAAGTATTCAATAGAAATCAGAAGCAGAAGATCACCCTTGTCAAGTGTGAAAACTAGACTTGGGGTCATATTATTCAGTACAACAAACTTATAAGTTATTCTGTTCCTAAACAAATAGCAGTTTTATTTTAAAAAGTGTCCCCGCCCTCTCCGTGTTCCACACCTATTCCCCTGCTCGTTCTTTTGAGGAACCGACCCGGACCGCCCTGAAGTGGCGCTGATCTTAGAAATCTTAGGCAGGCAGTAAGGCAGTTTCTGTTGAGTGGTAGGACTTGTTGCAGACTGGAAGAGCTCCGAACAGATGGTTTGTAGTAATGTAGTGTGATAACTGGACTGATGCAGCTTTTTCAATTAACTTGGAGACAAACTTTAGATGAGAAATAGGACGAAAGTTTTTAATCTTGGTGAAGTCGGCGCCAGGTTTCTTTAATGTTGGTAGGAGAGCAGCAATTTTGAAGTCATCAGGAAAAGTACCAGTTGATGGAGAAATGTTAACAATGTTGGTCAGGACAGGCAGTAACACAGGAAAGCATTCTTTCAGCACCAATGCAGGTAAAGGATCAAGTCTACATGATTTACCTATTAATTTACCTGCAAGAGATTTAACACTATCTTCACTGATGCTAGCAAAGTTCTGGATATCAGTTACACATTTCAATGGTTGGTGGACTTCAGGATCAGAGAGAGCTATGTTTTACTCTATCAAGGAGCGATGTATTCGTTCAATCTTGCCAGTAAAAAAAGCAGCAAAGCTGTTAGCAAGAGTTGCATTATCACAGGAAGGTGGTTAGTGATCCTCCCAAGAAGGTTTCTGTATTTACAGCATTAAAAGTGCACGTTGAACATTGGAATGGTCATTAATAAACGTGGTGTAATATTCAGATTTAAGTGACATTACGAGATTGTTGACAACAGTACATTGACGTGTATATTCCTGACGATCAACTTCTAGTCTGGATTTACGCCACTTGCCGTTGGAGGGATTCGTTGCAGATCTAAGGTTGTGTTTTGGTGTGTATGGATGTAGCAATTCTTTCAGGTACTCCGGAGCTAAGCCATTTGCTGCTTTGTATGTATGAAGCAGAACTTTAAATTGAACGCGCTTTTCAATTGGCAAGACCAGTGTAGTTTTATTAGCAGTGGTGTCACATGTTCTGATTTACGTGATAGCGTGACAAGCCTTGCAGCAGATTGCACGTGGCCAGTGTCCTTGATGCTATAATCACCAAATATATACATATGTACTTAAAAATAAATACATATTTTACCAGGGTAGGCCCGTCAGGAAAGCTGTTATCAAGGAGCGCCCTGRACTTTGACTTGATTCCTTGATGATTATCCTATATTATGATTGTGCTTCACCCTAATATATCGAAAGATTCTCGAAAGCTGAATAATTCCTTTAAATCAAGTTGACAAACTCTACATTTGTACGAGAAATTAATGACAATGTCCAAACTTTTTTTTGTGTGGAGTATATAACACCAAGACCACCATGTGCAAACTAGGGAACAGTCGATGGATCAAGTAGTGACATGAAATGGCCGGACATATGAAATTTGGTTGATATATTAAAAAGTTGAAAATTATCTCGTAAACAAGTTTTGAATGACTTTTTGAATTTTGCATTCAGTCCTTAAAATCTCCAGACATGCTGAAAACGATTTTGGGGAAAGATATTCAGCAAACGGCGGGAGGGGAAGGGGACTCATTCAAATTGACTTGAAATTTGTCCAGAACTGGACCCACTTTTATCGGTGCGCGCACGGCGGAGACGAACCGAGTAGCCGAAATAGACTGGTATTTCCTTTCATTTTTGAGATATAAATTAATCATTTAGTGAGAAAAGTGGATCTAGTTCTGGACTAAGTCATTGGATCACTCCATATGTTGCCAGAATGTGTTAAAGGGAAGAGAGAAAAGTCCTGGGGGGGGGGGGGGGGGGGGCAT